TTACTATCGCTGTTCTCTAGCCGGTCTAAAACCGCTTTTGACATAAAGGGACGCTTTTTGGACGCCATGGACTTTTCTAGGTTTCCAGGCAGAAAGAACAGTCAAAATGCAGGCAGGGCACAGGACAAAGCAGTAGGGACAAAATGTATGTGAAATGTTTTGAAACAGCAATGTTTTACTATGTAATAATCATTTTAAAAAAAATGACATTTTTTAAAAAAAATGTCAAATTTGCCGGGACCGGTTGCGGTGCCCATCAGCCGTTTGTCCCGACGAGCGAAGTAAGCGCTGCAGGGACTCCCTATGCAGCGCCGCATGGTAAGCCCGAGTAGCTCGGGGTTACCGCTTTTGGTACTGAAACTTTACCCCGAGCTACACTCGGGAAATACCGCCAAGGAGGTTAAGCTCACCATACATATTACCAACCTACATGTATCAAACACAAGGTCCCCAGGCATGTGGCCCTCACACCTCTCTTGCAGCTGCGGCACCCCCCTTGCCTCCACCCCCACCTTGTCTCAGCAGTGGACAGCAAAGAGGAGGACAGAACTCTTATAGATCCTGTGCCTCTCTGTGCAGCCGCAGCACCCCCTGGTAGCCACCTCTCCTGGTCTCAGCATTCAACAGACTCCGGCTGCTGTCTCAAGCTCTCCTCAGGTCCTCCTCCAGACCCTGAACTTTCTGCTTATCAGCTCCTCTCCCAGCTTCTTCCCGGCAGCAGCACAAGGTAAGAGGTGTGCACTGTGATGTAAGGAAAGGTGGGGGACTCTTGACTTATGATGCTGGGGGGCTATTGACATCTGATGTTAGGGGTGGTTATCTGTTTGCCATTATTTTTCCTAGACTTCTACTTTCAGAGCTAGTTATTACTTAAGTGATAATTAAAAGCAGTAATAATTGAGTGCAGAAACAATTATTTAATATAAAGAGTAGATACATTTATATAGTCTTACAGATACAACCGGCCTTTGAGGGCAATAATGCTGACGCAGCCCGCGGTGAAAATGAGTTTGATGCCCCTGAACTGTACAGTTTCTGTGCAATCAACTTTAGATTTACCATACCTTTGCAATATGAGTGCGCACCTAAATTATACATTCTGTATCCAATCAGGCGGATCCATGCACTACACACAGCTAAAGTACAGACATATTGTAACGTGCATGGTGAGCTTTAGAATCTCCAACAACTCATTTATGAAAGTACCTGTTGATTCGGACATCATTTTAAGTTTTTTAAATTGTTTAGCATTCACTCTTACTTATCTGTAAATCTATAGGTCATTGTACGAAGTTTGAACAATCAAGAAGTAATATATGTGGCCAGCTTGATTTACTAAAGGCAAACAGACTGTGCACTTTGCAAGTGCAGTTGCACTCTGCAAAGGCATTTGCTCCAGAGCTTAGTAAATGAGGTGAAGCTTCACTTTGCACAGAATAGCCAATCACATTCAAGGAAAGTAAAAATAAAACAGCCTTTTGCTTGCACATAATTGGATAGTGGAAGTCAGCAGAGCCTCTCCTCATTTACATGAGCAGCACAGTGGCTAAGTGGTTAGCACTTCTGCCTGGCAGTACTAGGGTCGTTGGTTTGAATCCCAACCATGGCACCACCTGCCTGGAGTTTGCATGTTCTCCCTGTGCCTGTGTGGGGGTACTCCAGTTTCCTCCAACAGACATGCTGGTAGGTTAATTGGCTCCTGTCTAAATTGGCCCTAGTATGTGTATGTATGAATGTAAGTTAGGGACCTTAGATTGCACACCTGTTGAGGGTTAGGGACTGATGTGAATGTACAGCATATGTATGACAGAGCTATATAAGTACCTGTAATACACCCTGTTCCAAATGATTATGCAAATTCTATTTAAGTGTCAAAAAGATTAAATATTTTGTTTTTCAGTTTAACTCATGGATGGCATTGTGTGTCAGGGCTCTCTTGATCACTGAAAACAATCTCGGACACCTGTGATAATTAGATTGGCCGGTGGGCCCAATTTAAGGAAAAACTACTAAAGGACGGGTGTTCCACATTATTAAGCAGAGCACCATTTTCAAGCAAAATGGGGAACAAAAAGGATATCTCTGCTGCCGAAAAGAGTGAAATAGTTCAATGCCTTGGAGGAGGTATGAAAACATTAGATATTTCTCAAAAACATAAGCGTGATCATCGCACTGTTAAGAGATTTGTGGCTGATTCAGAGCACAGACGGGTTTGTGCAGATAAAGGCACATTGAGGAAGATTTCTGCCAGATCCATGCATCGGATCAAGAGAGCAGCTGCTAATATACCATTACATAGCAGCAAACAGATATTTGAAACTGATGGTGCCTCTGGAGTCCCACGGACATCAAGGTGTAGAGTCCTCCAGAGTCTTGCAACTGTGCATAAACCTTCTATTCGGCGGCACCACTAACCAATGCTCACAAGCAGAAACGGCTGCATTGGGCAGAAAAATACATGAAGACTAATTTTCAAACAGTCCTGTTCACTGGTGAGTGCCGTGCAACCCTGTATGGAGTAGTGGATGGTTGGTGGACAGCCACCCTGTTCCAACAAGGATGCGACGTCAGCAAGGCGGCGGTGGAGTCATGTTTTCGGCTGGAATCATGGGAACAGAGCTGGTTGGCCCCTTTAGGGTCCCCAAAGGTATAAAGATGACCCCTGCAAAGTATGTGGAGTTTATGACTGACCACTTTCTTCCCTGATACAGAAGGAAGAACTATGCTTTCCGTAATAAAAGCATCTTCATGCATGACAATGCACCATCTCATGCTGCAAAAAATACCTCTGCATCAATGGCTGCTATGGGGATAAAAGGAGAGAAAGTCATGGTGTGGCCTCCATCCTCCCCTGACCTCAATCCTATTGAGAACCTTTGGAGCATCCTCAAGCAAAAGATCTATGAGGGTGGGAGGCAGTTTACATCCAAACAGCAGCTCTGGGAGGCTATTCTGACATCTTGCAAACAAATTCAAGCAGAAACTGTCCAAAAACTCACAAGTTCAATGGATGCAAGACTTGTGAAGCTGCTATCAAAAAAGGGGTCCTATGTTACAATGTAACGTGACCTGTTAAAGTGTTTAAAAAGTTTGATTGAAATAGCTTTTGATTTCAGTAAATATGCTGCAAACCCAACAAATGACAATTTTCAGTTCTTTACAACCTATAAAGTGTTTTGAAACTTACTGTGCGGAATAATTTGGAACAGTGCATTGTACGTTTTTATGTTTAAAAAAAATCCTGTTATCATTAGGAGGTTTGTTCAATAAAATGTGAATTGTACTCTTAATAGTTGATAACATGAGAATTATGCTGACTGTTATTTACATCAATTATTTAGGTAAATGAGAAAAAATATCATTTGCATAATAATTTGGTACACGGTGTAAATACTAAGCACTGGGACAAATGCCCTTGCAGTGTACTACTGCACTTGCAAAGTGTACAGTCTATTTGCCTTTAGTAAGTCAACTCCATGTAGTGTTTTTTTTTAAATAAAAAGTAAACATTTGTGATATTTTACATGAGTTCTTTGACTTCCTAAAAAAAAAAAAGAGATATGCACATTATACATTTTTGACATACCACAGTCTACACAGGTGACACACCTAGGTGATCTAATGTTTTTTTCTCTGGGTTTATTATTCTAGATTTTCCTAGCTGTATATTTACGCACATACGTCTTACCTCGTGGGCATTGCCATACAGCCAGTGACGTTTAGGACCTGGGAAAGGACTGAATGCTCTGTTCAGATACCTCCATCTCACAAACAACTTAGAGACTTTGAACAGAACAAGGAGGAGGCAGAGCCAGGCGGTCCAGTGACACAGATCATGGAAGCTCGGAGACAGAAAGCCAAACAGCCCAGTGATACCCATGAAGGACAGTATCCAGCAGCAGACCTGGAAGCACACTGGAAGGTGACAGCATGTTCACAGACCATAGTAATGCAGAGTAGGAGAATGAGGTAGATGGGAGGGGGGGGGGGGGAGGAGCTGATATAGGTAATGCCTGCAAGGAAGCTCCATGACTGAGGACTGGTTCACACCAGAAGCATTGCTCTGCACTCGGATGCATTTTCGAAAGCAGCAAATGACACGGACAAGAGAACACGTTGTTTTTAGCAGGACAAGTTTTCACCAACGCAATGTATAATATGGATTACAAAACACAGACATATCCTGCATGCCAGATTTTTTTAAAAGGTTAAACTGAACTTTGCCATTCACATCAGTTAAATAAACCTTCTTTGCAATGCAATCTCATCTCAAGGTAATGGGGCTGATTTACTAAAGGCAAATAGACTGCGCACTTTGCAAATGCAGTTGCACTCTGAAAGGTGTGTCGTTACGTTTGTCGGGTTGTATTAGATATGTGCAGGGAGATCACACAAATACAAAATAAGTATAACATTTCATAAAAGTAATGACAGATACAGATGACAAATATTAGAAATATAAGAATACTTAAAAAATGTGGTTGTACAGGCTGAAGGTTTTTGCATAGAATACATGAAGGTAAAAAACCTTCTATTTACAGCAGCTCCCCCAGCCCCTCAATACTTACCTGAGCCTCATCGTGATCTAGTGATGTGAATGACAGCCTCGGCTGTCCCGGGTCTCTGCCTCCTCACTGGCTGAGACAGCAAGTGGGAGCCATTGGCTCCCACTGCTGTCAATCACAACCAGTAAGCCAATGAAGTGAGAGAGGGGGTGGGGCCAAACCACCGCTCCGTGTGTGAATGGACACACACGGAGCAATGGGTGCCCCATAGCAAGCTGCTTGCTGTTGGGGCACCAGACAGACAAGAGGAGCCAGGAGAGCCTGCAGGGGCCTTCCTGGGACACAGCTGATCACCAATCACAGTAAAGAGCAGATAACACAGGCTCTATCATGTGTTCAGCTGCGTCCAATCACAGCTGATCACATGTAAAACGAGGAAATGACGGTTATTGGCAGTCCTCTCCTCACGCTGACAGTGGGTGAGGAGAGGAGAGCCAGTAAGTGGCATTCCTCAGAGGCGACATCTACACTGAGCATCAGGGCACTGATGATCAGTACCCTGATGATCAATGTAGACCTATCGGTGCCACCTGTCAATGCCATATACCAATGCCCATCAGTGCACATCAATGCCACATATCAGAGCTGCCTTTCAGTGCCAGTCAGTGACACCTATCAGTGCCACCTATCAGTGCCTTTCAGAGCTGCCTATTAGTGCCGCCTATCAGTGCCATATATGAGTGCTGCCTTTCAGTGCCCATCAGTGATGCCTGTCAATGCCCACCAGTGATGCCTGTCAATGCCCATCAGTGCTGTCTATCAGTGCCTCCTCATCAGTGCCGCATATCAGTGTCCTGCAGCCTCATTAGCGCACATCAGTGAAGGAGAAAAATTACTTCTTTACAAAATTTTATAACAGAAACTAAGAAAAGAAAATGTTTTCTTCAAAATTTTCAGTCTTTTTTAGTTTGTTTAGCAAAAAATAAAAAAATAAATACCTCCAAAAGAAAGCTTTATCGTCTCAAAAAAAATAACAATTTGGTTTGGGTACAGTGTTGCATGACTGCGCAATTGTCATTCAAAGTGCGACAGCTCTGAAACCTGAAAATTGGCCTGGGCAGGAAGTGGGTAAAAGTGCCCAGTAGGCAAGTGGTTAAAAAATGAGGGGAAGCTCTGTTGACTTCCATCATCCAATCATTAGCAAAAAAATGTTGTTGTTTTTTTTATTTTCCTTGCATGTGATTGGGAATTATTTGCAAAGTGAAACATCACCTAATTTACTAAGCTTGGAGCAAATGCCCTTGTAGAGTGGATGAGCTGAAGTAAATGATTTGCCTTTAGTGATTCAATCCCAATGTATCCTAATGCACACATGACATTTTTACTAATGCAGGATGTTATCTAAAGATTGAATTGATCTGATCCGTGTCACAGTTTAGGACAAAAACTACCCTTGCAGTGTTATACAGGTGGGCCCTCAGTGTCCTCATATATAATGCAGGAATTCTGGTCCAGCATTGTACACAATGACCAATATAAATAATAATTGGTTCTAGAAAGCATGACACATCCCCTTAATTAGAAATTCTATAAAGGTAAGAAATGACAGGACTTTTGAAGCACTGCACTGCGACAACTTTGTTCTTAAAAACTTACTGGGGGAGACTTACTAAAACTGAAGCATGCAAAATCCGATTGATTTGGGCAGCACAGTGGATAAATGGTTAGCACTTCTGCCTGGCAATACTAGGGTCATTGGTTTCAATCCCAACCACGGCACCACCTGCCAGGAGTTTGCATGTTCTCCTGGTGCCTGTGTGGGTTTCCTCCGGGTACTCCAGTTTCCTCCCACACTCCAAAGAATTGCTGGTAGGTTCCTGTCTAAATTGGCCCTAGTATGTGTATGAATGTGAGTTAGGGACCTTAGGCCCCAAGTACACGGGACACTTCTGAACGATGGAAACTGACTGCTGGAAAACGTAGGGTAAAAAACATCTGTTTAGCCGCGTTTGCATACCACGATTATGAGCGTTTGCGTTTAGAAGTGTTTTTTTAAGATAAGCTCGGGAGACCTTCCAAAATGCCCGGAAAACACTGAAAAACAGTAAAAATTTAAGAGAGAAATAGAGAGAGCAGAAGCAGAGATTTGTTAAGATTAGCTGTCTTTTTTTTGTGGTGTTTGGATGTGTTCCAGCTCATTTCTGTGCAGAAATTATTGCAGTGGTGTCTAACATATTTTCTTTCATGCAAAACCTCAAAGTATGGTGTACCAAGTCCATTTGAGTACCAGGAAAAAAGGTTCTGGACAGCATCTGGAAATGGGAGAGTTAAAAACATTTTTAAAACACAAACGCCTATAAATGCGGTAAGCCGCGTTTAGCCACGTTTACAAGTGTTTTGCGTTTGGAACGCTGATAAAATCTACTCCTGAACGCAAGTTTTCTGCGTTCAAAAAAAACTACTGGAAACTCAACTGCCTGTAAACAACTGTAAACGACGATGTGTACATGGACACATAGGAAAACTTAAGGGAGAGTTCAGGGGCTGCTGAAAAAAACGCTGAACTGCTCCTAAACGTGAGTTTATCAGCTGCAGTGTACATGAGCCCTTACATTGCACACCCCTTGAGGGTTAGGGAGTGATGTGAATGTATAATATATACATATGTATATTTACACACATACACACATGTTAAGTGCTTTGTAAATTGTTATACAAGTACCTATAATAAATAATACTTTTTGACGAGTGTTCCAGCTTTAGTAAATCTCCCCCAAAGTCTTTATTCATAACATACAACACATTACAATCAATCTTAACTTAAATTCTATCGGAAACTCCAGATATGACCCCAGTAACATGCACTACCACCCGCTGGATCAAAACACAACTCACTAATGGGTTATTCCCTAAATAACATTTTTACATATTTTAATCACGATGATTATAGGCTCTATTAGAAACTCAATGCTATTCTCTAATTTGAATGTGGTGGTCTGAACTACCTCTTGTTCATCCAGAGAGTCAAAGAGTCCAAGCAGGGGTCTAGGTGGGAACCCCCAGGAAGGGTCTTCCCCAAAAAGATAAGCACAACCATTAAAGCACCCTGAACACACTCGATACAAAATGATTAGCATTCCATAATAAGAGATCTACATGCAAAAGATTTTTGAACCATAAAACTATATTAATAGAATAGAACACAGTAACAGAAAAATGCTCTTATATATCACTTTGAGAAGATATTGTTATCCCCTATATGTTGTAGATTATCTTTGATAAGTTACCTGTATGGTAAAATTGCAGTATTACAAACTGAGTATCAAGGGTAGGTTTCCCCATAGAGATTACTCTCAGGCATAAAGCTTAAAGAAAATGCTACTGCAAATAGTGAAAAGAGGCCAATCTCAGTAAAGATAAAGTAAAGGCCAGTCATTGCTGTGGATTCTTTCATAGCTATTTGAATATATTCATGCATGCACCTTATAAATGGGAGCACAAACTTAAAGCGGAACTAAACCCACTGATTTAACGGATTCCCAAAATGAATGATAATTGTCACTTTATGGCCTTGTTCACACCATATGTGCAGAAAAAACTGATGGGAACTGATTCGCAGATTTCACTTGCAGAGACAGTTTACATCAGTTTTCATGCGTGCTTCAATGAATTTTTTAACCACCTCCCGCCCGCCATATAGTAATATGATGGACGCAAGGTGGTTCTCTCGCTCAGGGAGCGCGCAGCGCGGCGATCGGCAGTGCGCTGTGTCCCTTGGACACAGCGGATCACCGATCACGGAAAGAGCCGAAGATGTCGGCTCGGTCATGTGATCAGCTGTATCCAATCACAGCTGATCACATGTAAACAGGGAAATGCCAGTTATCAGCATTTCTCTCCTCTCGAGCTGTCACACTGACAGCTCGAGAAGAGAGGAGAGCCGGTAATCGGCTTTCCGTGGAGGGGACATGTACACTGATCATCAGGGCACTGATGATCAGTGTGCCACGATGATCTGTGTAGCCCCAGCAGCGCCACCTATCAGTGCCCATCAGTGCCCTATGTCAGTGCTCATCAGTGCCTTGTGCCAGTGCCCATCAGTGCCACATCAATGCCACATATCAGTGCCTACCAGTGCACATCAATGCCACATATCAGTGCCCATCTGAGCTGCCTTTCAGTGTCACCCATCAGTGCCAGTCAGTGCCACCTATCAGTGCGCATCAGTGCTGCCTATCAGTGCCTGTCAGTGCCACCCATCAGTGCCAGTTAGTGCCGCCTATCAGTGCCAGTCAGTGCCGCCTATCAGTACCAATCAGTGCCGCCTATCAGTGCCATATATCAGTGCCGTTTATCAGTGCTGCCTTTCAGTGCCCATCAGTGATGCCTGTCAATGCCCATCAGTGCCACCTACCAGTGCCTCCTCATCAGTGCCACCTACCAGTGCCTCCTCATCAGTGCCACCTATCAGTGTCCATCAGTGCAGCCTATCAGTGCCCATCACTGCAGCCTTATTAGCGCATATCAGTGAAGGAAAAAAATCACTTATTTACAAAATTTTATAACAAAAACTAAGAAAAAACTTTTTTTTTTCAAAATTTTCAGTGGTTTTTGTTTTTTTAAGAAAAAATAAAAAACCCAGAGGTGTTTAAATACCACCAAAATAAAGTTCTATCTGTCACAAAAAAATGATAAAAATTTTATATGGGTCCAGTGTTGTATGACCGCGCAATTGTCATTCAAAGTGCAACAGCGCTGAAAGCTGGAAATTGGCCTGGGCAGGAAGGGGGTATAAGTGCCCTGTAGGCTAGTGGTTAAATGTTGCAAACTCCTGTGCAGAAAAAAATCTGTGCACGATACTAGTGTTGTGGTGTAAACAGGGCACACAGAGAACAATTGATTTTGTTGTGCCCTTGTAGAACGCATGCAGAAAAACTGCCATCTCTGCCCCATGGTGTGAACGAGCCCTTACTTATACTCTCAACTGAACTGTTAAATCTTCAAATTGCTGAGTCATAACTGTGCAGCACCATGGCAGCTGCAGATCAACAGATGCCAAGATGGCAGCTTCCCTGGCTGTAAGGTAAAGGAGGATTTAGACGTGCTTTAATGAATGCCTTAAGTGCCAGCAGGAATGCGTCATACTGTGGGGGTAGAGATTGCTCTCCTTTCTATATCCCATATATTGGCCACTGTAGCCATTCCCCAAACATCAAAACTATGGCGTCAGGAGTTGGCAAGATAGTGGCCACCCACACATTATCCCCAGGCCACCAACAATGACATTAGGGGGCTGCAGTCAGGCACCAAGGAGGACTGAACATTTAGGAAACCCCTTAAGAAGCATAAAAATATATAAAATCAGCCGCTATCAATGGACTGGTAAGAAGGTCCTAACATCAGTTACAGTTGTGTTTTCCATGAATTGAAGGAGAAGGGAGGGGGCAAGTTCACTGTGGCTATGCCTCTTCTTCTGTCTGCCACTGTAGCCATTCCCCAAACATCAAAACTATGGCATCAGGAGATTTCAAGATAGTGGCCACCCACACATTATCCCCAGGCCACCAACAATGACATTAGAGAGCTGCAGTCAGGCACCAAAGAGGACTGAACATTTAGGAAAACCTTTAGGCAACATAAAAAAATAAACCAGCTACTATGCCACAATATCAAAATGAATTTGATAGGTCAGAATAAAAACGATCCGGAAGAGGCACAGCGCTGGTTCTCCCACCCACTACACAGTGATAAATCCTCAATAAATAATATAACAAGGACAAGAAATAAAAGGTGAGTTATTTGTGACTAAAATCAACATGAACCACAGTATCATATATAATGAACATAATATACAGTACTCCCTTCAGATACAAATAAATATATAATAATGGGTACTGCATCAATCAATAATAATTTCACTTTGAACAATGGGTTTATGAACGGATATCTGAGGATTATTATTGAATAAAATATCTCACTGTTTATTGGCATTTTTATTATTTTTTATTATATTTTATTATTTATTTAGGTTTTATCATTGTGTGCTGGGTGGCAGATACAAGGAGTAAAGTAGCTCAGGAGGACCGGTCTTGGAGAGTAGAAAGCGTGCAGAAATAAAGAATAAGGTAAGCTTGTGCAACCACATGGTTCATTTTTTCATGCTAAGCAGAGTTGGGAGTGAGTTCAAAAGCTGTTTTAAATTGTATTTATAGCTGCATCTTTTAACAAAATACCTGATGTAGGGATCTACTGCCCTCTATTGTCTCAGTTTGTAAATGCAATTTTAAGTGCAAAAGAATGCAAATATCAATATTTATGCCGAAAGCATGTAGCTAGTGTGATTAGCAATGTGTTCAAGGTGTAACAGAAGGCAAAAAACATATTATTTCTTTTGAAGGTCAGGTTAATATAACCCAACACAGAGCAAGGGGGGATTCTGCAGACCCTGACGTAAAAGGGAACAATACAGATATAAAGAAGAACTCTGAGGACAATGATGTAAGGGGGGAATGCTGCACACTGGTGTAAAGGGAAACTCTGATGTAAGGGGGTCACCACAGCCCCCTCCTTAGAAAAGAGTCCACAGAGACTGCAGAACTACTACAGAAGACAGAGACTACAGACATACCACAGGAGACGGTCAAAGACTGCAGATATAGTACAAGAGACGACAAAGGCTGCAGACAGTGCAGGAGATGGTCAGAGACTGCAGATATAGTACAGGAGACAGTCAGAGACTGCAGTCATAGTACAGGAGATGATCAGAGACTGCAGACATACTACAGGAGATGGTTGGAGACTACAGACACAGTACAGGAGATGGTCAGAGACTGCAGGGAGCTGAGTGAGAGGGCATTCCTGGAACCAGGGAACAGTTGGCTGCATAGGTACATATATAGTGCTAATAAGCAGATACCACCTACAGTTATAGGAATTCCCTTAACAGGGCAACCAGGTGCAGTAAATAAATATGAAGGCGATAATTGGAGTTAATCAGCAGTTGCGTTTTCCAAATCTTTTGAAAGGAGGAATTCATAAAGCTGCATATTACACCAACTTCTGTATTCAGAGATAGCTGTGCTGTAGAGGATGCCGATCCGAGAGGATGGGGACCACTTCCTGCCCCGCTCATGAATCACAGGCTCCGGCACCCTCTCCAGTCCGGGCTACTGTGTTTTTAAAAGGTGCCAAACAGCACCATGACGTCACTGGCATGTGCCCCCCCCCCCCCCAAGCTAGACTAAACACAGACAAGATCAGCGGTGTTGAGCCGAGCTCAACCGAGTTTGCCTAACTTTGAAACTGTGCATGCACAGTTCCAAAGTCTGCCCACTGCCATTTTGTTTTTCAGGTGGCCACTATCCATAACAGAAATTTATGGAAAGTTTGTAAATCGCCCAAAAATTTACAAACTGTCCGTAAATTTACAGATGGTTGGCAACCTTGAAGTGGGTAGAGACGGAAAGATTTAGCCACATGTCTTGTCCATGCCACTAAATTCTGAAGCTATTATACACTACTAGAGAGGGGCTAAAGAGCAGAGTAAATAGGCTGGCTGAGTCCCAGTGCCACACCACAGCTCCTAGATGTTCCATTCCATGATGGTCGAACAACAGTTGGAAGGTACCCCCATGACCGCTGATCTTCAGGTCTCCAGCACAAATACAAACAATACATCATCCTCATGTATATACTGTTATGAATCATTTCTGAAATAAGGCATGTATTATTTCTATACTGTTGTGTCTCTATATGATTATGGTTATTTTTACATGCTGGTTGCAGTGGTTTCTCTGCTTCCAATTACTTTGTTTAGACTTCTGGTTAATTTTCTAGGAAGAGAATCCCCTCTGTTCACAGAGTCCATGCCCTGGGAGAAGGCATTGCCAACTTTATTATCAATCCCACTCTTCCACTTAGTGAAGATTCTGATTCTCTTATTTTCCTACAGGTTTGGAGCAATATTCTGTTTGCGGAAGGCCATTTATTCATTGTGCACCATTACAGCCTTCTAGCCGCTGGCATCCTAACAACCAATGACACAATCAGTTGGTGTGGAGGATGTTGGTCTCCTGCATGGCATCCTTGTTTAACCCTCCCCTGCCCCTCTCTGTCGTCAATGGGGTTTAATTATCTGAGTGATAAAGAGAAACTGAAGGAGAAGAGAAACATTGGAATACTATTCAGTACCAGTGTGCAAAAGTGTACATGCTTTGGAAGAATAAATCCCCTCTAACATTGGGTGACCTACATGTGTGGGTGTTGCTACATTAAGTAAAACTATTAGAATAGTTTTTTAGATTTTAGAATGGGGTGCCTTGAGACTGTCTATAAATTTAAAGGGTGCCTCAAGATTGTTCATAACTTTAAAGGGTGCCTTGAGTGAAAAAGGTTGAGAAACACTGGTTTAGATCATTCAACATTGACAGGGCTGCTTACAATGGTCAGCTTTTAAAGGACTACGTCTAGTCACACTAAGACAGGGTATGGGTTACTAACTGGAGCGTCATGTGAAAACAAAGTGTAAAAAAAATGAGAACACGACAAAGTAGGGCTCTTACACATACCCATACATTAAGACGAACAACCATACTGTCAAGGTCCTACCTTTTCCCAGAGATTGTGCTGCTTCCTGTGATCCGCACATGCCCTTTGCACTTGTGTCTTGTGTTTTTGTGTTGCTACAGCTCTGTGTATACTCTCGTGACTCTCCTGGAATCTGACTTGGTTTGTGACTAGACCATCTTTGTGTTTTCCTTTGATCTAACCTTCCATTGCTGAACCCGGCCCGTGACCTGTGATTCTTGTCCACTGTTTCTGTACCGTTTTGTCCCGTTGTTGTCGACCCGGCCTGCCTGACTACGCTATTGTCATTCCTACCAGCTACACGCCATTGGCGGCGGCCATTGCCGCAGCCGGGGTGTCTCGGGGGCCGCGACCTGGTTCCTGGCTGCGTCAAGTCCATCCCCACCATCAGGGGCTCTGGTGAAGGGCAGCCTGGGACTTAGACTCCGCGCCCTGAGGGACTTCGGTCTGTGGGTGGTGGTTGTCGTCAGTCAGTGCGTTACCCTGCCACTAGGCCTGCCTGTCCGTTCCACAGCCCCTGCCCTGACACATACCGAGTATAGTATGTCTGTTGTTGTGACGCCTAGGAGCCACAATGGCAGCATAAACATTCCCTTTGACATGCAGTATAGTGGCTACTGATGGGAAAGATGTTTAAGTACTCCGAGT